GCTCATCAAGCGGAAGATGTCGTCTGTCTCATGTCAATGTTCACGTGCTTACATGTTGATGAATGCTTTTATTGGATTTTTGAAATTTATTCAAATAGACGATATTCAGTCTCTTATTTGCGCTGGTCGTAGTTAGTTAACCAGAATATTTTTCACGTGAATTGTTCAACACTCTTTTGTTCTCGATATTGATACAGAAATTGCCTATGATACGCGTCAAAAGCTCCGGAATGACAAGTGCAACTCATAACCTCTGCCCGAGGAAGGAGTGCATCATCTCCTCGCAGTTACCTACTGTCGCCGAAACAGCTGCGCATTTTCATTCAACGCTATCTTTCTTCGGGCGAACTTCAAGCGTTCAGGTTTTGTTAGAGAAACTCAGTGAGCATTTCTTATTTTTTGCATTAGTGAGCCTCCCAAAATTTTTCGATATTCAATTCGATAGCATATTCGCAGTAACATAAAACTTTAATCAGTGGAACAAGTGGAACCAGCGAAATTGTGATGGCAGAATATCGGATCTACAACATAGCTTTTTTGCATTCTCATGTTACTTGCGAAATGATCATCTAGCCTATGCTTCAACTCGGTGCACTAATAGTCAGTTTCTACCTTGTTTGAATTTTCTTCAGATTTCGTAATTTCTCTTGAATCCTGGTATTCCTTCAGAGTTGGGTTTGCCTAGAAGTTGCCCTTGTTCGGCCTGTTGATTTCGATTGAGTTTATTGGTTTATGTTTTAAGGAAACGCCCTAGCACGAAACCCAAGAGAGCATAATTTCGCATGTAAGATCTTTAAAAAAGAGCATCGGTAGTCATAAAAACGTTTCGATTTTTGCTCATTCCACAGGGTCGTGCTGTCTATCTACACTGCTTGCTTACTGCTGAGGCTCCCTTTAGCTAATGTTTAGGAAGACCGCTCGATTACGATATCAAAGATGAAGGATGATGTCTTGGGCATTAATCATTTCCTTTTTGGGATGCGCCCCCTTTCACAGTTACTTTTGTTCCTGTACAAGTTAGTGCTTTTATACTCCCTACCGAGTAGTACCAATTAATCTACTCAGGAGGGAATGAATGTTTGGTTGTCCTGGGCGAGTAGCTAGCCGGGATTCGATCCTGGACCTTATGTATGTGATGAGTCAGTACCCCGCTTGCCACCACCGACCTATTCCCCGCTCCTCACCCAGCAGCGGCTTAACTGAGAGGTTCCATGAAACTCAACCCTACAACTGATTTTCTCCACGAGTTGTTTAAGTTAATTTTCTTGCCACTTCATTTTTTTCACCTATATTTCGGATATTCCCTATATGTGTGGGATAAAAAATTGGAGAATTTTGTACAATTTACCTATTCGTTGACAAAATGCGTCTACCCTCAATCTTCATTGATTTCTGTCCAAGTATCTGCTTCTCTTCATTGTCTCCTGTCTTATCTTTATGCTTTACTTCATGACCCGCCCAGGTAAAACTTCTAACCATTACCACTTTTGATAATCTTTTTATCTAACTTCTAGATATGAAATCTGAGTATATGGGGAAATATTAGCAGTAGAGCTTTAAAAGGATCTGCAGGGATGATTCAATTGTTTTGAATGATTCGATAAATGCCAGCGGCGGTAAGCGGCTCAAGAAGTCCAGCGCCCTAAAAGAAAAGGTCTGCTGTATATGTGAGATCATTGATAACGCCCGGTTTGAGCGTTCTTTGCCATGAGATTCGTGAGAACAGTTGAATGAGCGAGGGCCACAGGAGATTTATATCGATATTTTTTTGCAGTGCTACGCATACAGAGGATGAAAAGCGAGGCTAATCAATCCTCCGATCAGAAACATATGTGTCATTATAGCTTTGGGAAAACTTTGAATCACCAGCAGGATCACGATGTAGCATTCCCGTTGCAATTCAGCATTCCCATTAAAAATCCATCAAAACGTCAGTGTTTTTTCTTAAAAAAAAATAGCGAACCTGCATTCTATTTTTGTGCAACTTCTTAGATTTCATTTCAATTCTCAAATCCGGATCCTTTCAGATCTCCTCACTTTTGTCGAAAGAAAAAAATCATTTTCATTTGCCTCCGCTCTTCCACTTCATTCTCCGTTTGTCACATAAACCGTTCCTGCCAGCTTTTCTGAACAGTCACATGTGTGAAATGAGGGATTCGGACTAATTATTTTTTCATAAAAACAAATTTCTGAGTACTTCCTAGTCACATCAAATTAGCAGGCTGAAGTGTTAAGAATGCTGATTGTGTGCAATTTCTGGGCGGCACAGCCTTAGTTCATGGCTTTCTATGGAAGTGAAAAACGCTTCAAAGACCTAAACTACCTATAGTGCGAGTTTAGCCCAGTATACGCAGTCCACGGACGACTCGCAATAAGACATGCAACTTTTGTAAGTGAAGGCACACCTTTGTCTTACGAGATCACTGATTTAGTCTGTGCATTTCATTTTCATCGTTTTGTTCGCAATAATGGAGGATTTTTTCTCCCTTGATGACTAATTAAAAGCCTCAGCCTTGGCAGAACGACTTCTAGTGTAGTGGACCATTCGATAGAAAACCACATGAGCTGTGGCACATATGTTTTATTGATTCTCTGTTAACTAGGTTTTTTCTTGGACGAAGTCACGATGAAGGTCCAAGTGGCTCTCAATCATTCCTCTATGGCCTAGTTTAATCGTCTTCGAATTTGCTCAGTCATCTAGAGTAGGTTCTCTCCTCTACACTTACACTCTAAGCGATAGAACTGTGCTTCATCCAACCATGAGTATCTCTCAGCGAGGCTGGGTGCGCTGCTAGCGGCTCCACGCCACAGGTAATCTGTTCCTAACTGCCGGTACCCGTCGACAAGTACGTTACCAGATTTGGCCGCTCACCCGTCGGTTGATGAAAGGCTTGAGAGGTCCATGGCAAGATCTCGCTTTTGCAATTGTGTGGAACGGAAACGGTTGCCCATTTAGATAGGATATGGTTAAATCAATATCCTTCGCTGTTGAGATTCAGCATATAATGCGGAGACTAAGTTAAGAGGGAGGCTTCGGTGGGTTCGGTGGACTTGATGTCGTTTTGTTTTGACGCTGCGCTGTTAACCAGCGCCAATCCGAAAGCTGTTCTGCAATCGTCATCGCGATTCCTAGAAGGTGAACGGAGTTTGTGAATTCCAGTCGGAACTGGATCGCTCATTTTGTAGGGAAGTTTCGAGAACTGATATCGCTTCCACTTAAACGATCGTGATTTTCTGCTCTTGGGCCGTGAAGTGTTCAAACTTTCCCATTGAGCTCGTGAGTGCATTGATCACCCATTCAGAATTAGTGCATTATATAGTATACATTAGTTTGGTTATTGGAATTGGTATTGCATGGGTGCTATCCAATCTCTCTTTAAAGGCTTTTAAGTTGTCCTTCCATAGCCATGGAGAATATGGGTAACGTGGGGAATGTATCCGCCAGCTCATAAGTCTTCACATTTCTCACAAAGGTGATGGAGGAATGTCGTTTTTCAGGGGAGCCCTACGTTATTCTGAGTTTGGTTTGTTCTGAATGAAAGAGAACCTCTGGGTACGGGTGCTCAGTGCAACAGCTCTTCCAAAGCAGTTACAATAACTAGGTTGACCCTGCCAATCTGCTCCACTTTAAACCTGTGCCAATATCGGCGCCACAGTCGTTTGAATCGTCACGAGTTTCGCCGCGCAATTTGCCCCATGCGCCTTCAACGACGAACGTTCTATCCCCCTCCTCCTTCTTGCATAGGTGTGCGATCAGACGATCCTTGCCCAACATCACTTTTCGATGCGCCGTATATGTGACGGGTTGGGATTGGTGTATCCAAGCTAGATTACGCCTCGGAAGAACCCTACGTCCTTTGCATTTTATTCACCGTAGGGTCTCTAGAAGAACGGAGTGCTTGTAGTTAGTTTTGGTTCCAGTCATAACTGATGCAGGATTACGAGTTTCCAGCGTTTTGATAAGCTAGGTTTCTTATGCTCCGTCCCATGTTCCCAGTCGTGCCATTGACCTGTTGTGAAAGCTTCTAATCTAGCAATTTGAAAACAGATTCTGGATTGGATTGAATTGGATGTTTCGTGCTGCGGTTTCGAAAGCTGTTCAGTTGCTTTCTACGACATCAGGCCCACAACCTCTAAGAAATATCGAACCGAAATTCACAAAGGTAAAATAAACCATAATTGAATGTCGAAAAGTAACTGTACCTGTTTCCAGTTGTTCATCAATAATGAATGGTTAGATTCATCTACGAGGAGCACTATAGACTTGTTCAACCCGGCAAACGAAAAATTAATAACCGAAGTCGAGGAAGCCGACTTCAAAGACGTGGATAAAGCTGTTCAGGTAAGTCGTGATGAGGTATTATATTAGATTTTCAGGAAATTCTGCGGCAAGAAATATTTGAGCGTCAATATTCTCTGTAAAGAATGTGAACACGATGGCAAGAATGGTAAACTTGTAGGACATCCCCTGGGCAATCAACACATGAATTAATAAGTGCGCGCACGTGGGCTTTCGCAAACATACCACCAGCGCTAGGATAACACCAGATTTGTACCCACCTTCTGCTGGGCATGTCAAGGGAATATCGCAAGTAATGGCTGAAGTTATTGGCAGCCTATTCGCTGGGAGCACTGTTCACGGATCGACGGACGCCAGTTGACTGAACCGCTTCACTGCGGGAGATGCTAATCTTCGAAGTAACGCAAAAATCGTCTCACAATTTTGATGGGCACGAAGGGACCCATCCAATATGAATTGGTAAACGCAGAGGTAACAGTTACAGCTGTCTCCTACTCCTACACCGCCTTTCTCCTTCCCCTTCCAGGTTATTCATTAGCTGTCCTCGTCCTCCCGGAAGTTGTCTTTTTCAATTGTCATGTGCTCCTAATTTTCGGACATTCCCTTGTGGAAAAAAGTTCATAACTTAATATGTCATGGGAACGGTAGTCAAGGACTTCTTTGTGTCATAAGACAAGAATTCTAAGCAGAATCTTCAGCACCTTTGAAACTTACTAGCCAATTTCTGATCCCCTGCTTTTTGCTTCTGTCAGTATTTTCATATCAGGCGGCGAATGAAGCTCTGACACCAAACTCTCCATGGCGTCGCATGGACGGAGAACAACGTGCTCACCTTTTGCTAAAAGTTGCAAATTTCATTGAGAGGGATAAGAATATTCTTGCTGTGAGTGCATCACGTCGTTGCTGCTCGAAGGCTTTGACTAATTTGATGTGGTTTTTGAATGACACTACATACTTCGATTTTAGTCACTTGAGTCACTTGACAATGGGAAGCCGTTCATGACAGCGTACGAAGTCGATCTTCCATTATCGATCGAGTGCATCAGGTACCTTCAATTTAATTGCTGTTTGCATACAGAGAGCTCTGTATTGAAAGCAATGGCTCGGAGGTCATGTAGAGCCGCTTTCCACTATCACTATACGCCTTTCGCTAGCCCTCCACTGTCCTCGTTTATAACCTTAAGCAGATGGATTAATAACAGTATAGGAGCAATCAAAATCATATCATGTTATCAAGTCATTCCATTTAACCTCCTTCAGTCCGTGCAAATCTATTTTTAGTAGGGCTTATGATTCTTCTCCACTCTCACAATGAAATTTGCCCATCTAAACACTATTACATATATGATTATACGATCTTTTTTTGTATGCATCACACCTAGTATTCAATAACGATTATAAATTTCATTTGAATCTCTTGGCAAGTCTTCATGTTAGTAGTGGAGCACATCGAAGTAAAATCCATGTTTTTAGCCCATAGGGGCAGCATGAACTATCGTTACTATACACTCCTTATTTGTTACCTTCCATTCAGGCATTACGCAAACTATGCACGCATGATGGGAGATGCACCGACAGCACCTAGAGTATGTGGGGAAATCATTCCGGTGTGTATTTTGTTGATCTCAATATACAGTGCTAATGATCTCTGTCAATTGCTTTGCCTGGGGGAGGGGGAGGGATTCTGAGGTTGGGGGGTGAGGGCGATAACATTGGTAGCAGCTCAACCGATCCTTTTTCCCTCATTCTGATGGCTTCCTAGATTAATGTAGAGAGAAAGTAGCCTTAAATAGGGTTTACTATATACAGTTCTGTTGTTAGTCATTTTTTGAGAGAAACAATCAACGTTAGGTGTGGTCTTTCAGATAGAGATCCCAAACAGTTGATGATTTAGGAGAGTCTTGGCATAATCAGTACTTTGAATTAATGTGTAGCTGTCATAAATTCAGATAACATCGTTTTCCGTAGTCTCGTACAACTTTATGCCTTCATTTAGTGGATTTCGCCTTTACTTTCACTTACGTGGAAGTTTGCGCCAGCTCTAGCTACGGGCAACACGGTTGTGATGAAACTGCCAGAGCGAACGCCACTGTCTGGGCTGCATGTGGCTGGCCTTATACGAGAGGTGAGGTCAGTTTGAATGATAATATAATTAGTTGAATTATAGAGAAGCGTATAAGTTCTAGGACATTTGCAAGTTTTCTGAAGTTTTCGCTGGCTAGTTAAAAAATTCTTCAAACCCCGAGTGACTTGCTTCGGCTACCGCTCACCTAGGTGGCCCTTATGTAAGAAATGCTTTTAAAAGAAAGTTTTGGGCCCAACCGTGGCCACAAGATTGGCAGTGTGACATTTTCATGCAGTCGCGCTACACTGCAGTTTGCTTTCCTCGCATGTTGGGAGGCCGAAGGTGATGGTAAGCTCACCCGGTCTCGGTTACGATTTTTCATCAATTTGTTTAAATAAGGTCGACTTAAGGCCGACTTTCCTGACGGCGTTTTCAATGTAGTGGTAGGCGTTCGTGCAAAAGCTGGTCGAGCGCTCGTCACTCATAAAGATGTTGACGGAATGGCTTCCATCAAGTTTTTAAGAAAGGCCATCGAAGAAGCCTCTCAATCCTCGATTAAAAAGTACGTGTCTGTGTATTCAAAGCAGTTCACTTTGATTCTGCATATTTCTTTTAGTTCGTATGTACGTGTTTGTAGCAACAGTATTTTAGAGAATGATTCTATCTTCTCTTCACTGTCTTTTTGAGCATTGAAATAATTCGGCTTTATTTCTATTCAGGGTCCCCATAGAGGTCAACGCCCGAAGTTCTTGCATTGTGTTCGCTGATTCAAATTGTGAGTAAATTTTTGAAAGAAATTAATAATTTGAGGTGATGTTTCGTGATAAAAATGTGGTGAATAAAAAACAAGTTAATTTTGATTCGATAAAATTGGCGTCAAAGGTTTTGCGGCTTCAGTTATCTTACGTACTTATTGTAATGACAGTTTGGGAGATCATCAAAAAGGTCTCAGGATCTGAAACTTCTAAGGCTTCCATTTGATGAACGTGTATTTCAGTGAAGCTCGCCGTTAAGCAAGCTCACTACGGCATATTTTTCAGCAATGGCCGCGGATACTCTGTCGGCTCAAGGACGTTCGTCGAGTCGAAGGTGTGTTGATGGCTTTTTTCTTTTATTATTTTGGCAACCTTTTTAATTATTATCTTCTTATCCATGTTTGAATGAATCATTATATTTTTACACTGTTTAAGTAGTTCTAAATGTTGAAGCAGCGCATCATGGATTTTTCAGAAGTTTGTCTTCTTAATGTGAGCGTGCTGCTCTGTAGCGGGTGAGACCAACGAACTCCCCCCCCCCTCCTCCCTCCTCCCTCCTCCTCCCCAAGACCACAGTTTTGAACGTTTCACAAACAAGAACCTTCGCTTGTTGCTCACATTATTCGTCAGCCATTTGGAACAGTTGTTTTTGTCAAGCTATGTTTGTTTTTCAGGGAATTTTCTAGGGAGTCTTAGCTTCTTTTTGCTTGTTGTGTCCATTCATTCATTGCTCTTGTTATGATCCGTAAATAAGTAAATAAATAAATGTATATATATTTTTGTTTTATAGGTGTACGACGAATTTGTAGATCGATCAAAAGACTTAGCTGAACGATTAATTGTTGGTGATCCATTCGAACCATCAACGCAGCAGGGACCACAGGTAATAATAATCCCCGAATGTTTTGGATTCTTTTACTGATTTATCTGCCGTGTTGGCCTATTTTTTACTTTTTTTTTCTTTTCCTGTTTTGTCATTTCATTTTATAACCAGATAGACGGCCATCAAGTAGAAGAAATTCTGCGACACGTTGAGAGCGGAAAGCGTGATGGAGCTCACTTGGTCACAGGTTAGGGAGTATGATGACCTCCTTGTAGTAATCAATTATGGATAGTGGATAAAATAAGCTTTTTGAAGGTGGAACAAAGTGGGGTGATCGCGGTCATTACGTCTTGCCAACGGTTCTAGCTAATGTTGATGATCACATGGCCATAGCCAAAGAAGAGGTGTGTTTGACACGTATTTCCTTATCCCACACGATTTCTGTATTATTCATCGATTAATTTGCTTCGTGAAGGCGGACAAAATGTGTTTCGAATACGTCTCCCACTATCTCGTCCACGAAGTCAGTACTCCCTCTTGTTGTGATGAGTGCTCATCACATCCCAAGTGCTACGGCACAGCCAGCAGTCGTTCCCCAGCGATCGCATCTACATGCAGTTGTGCAGACAGAACAACAGTTGTCGCTAACAAACATCTGACTTATTTCCAACTGGGTGAGTACTGCTCGGGGAACGTGCAATTCCATCGTCGAGCTGATGGAGCCACACTGCAAAATGTGGGGTGTGGTGCGATTCGCGCGCTATAACATCATGCTTACAATCATAATCGGAGAAATAGAAACTTACAAGAGACAAGTAAAAAATTATTAACTATGACGTTTACAGAAGGGGTGCATTCATTAGAATCGAAACATTTTGAAGTTGCTCTCATTTTGAACGTTTGACAAGTAAATTGTTGACCTATGAAGTGAATCCTTGATCTCGAAGGGTCTTCTTTGCCGTAATAAGGAGATTTGCATAACTTCAAGGTGAAGCCATGGACTAGTGCACAATTCATTTGGCTCATATCAACTGAAGGGTATTAAAGCGGTCGCATCGAAACACGTCTGCCGGTGCGTCGAGTGCTGTATGTGAAGAGCTCTGATGGGGTCGCGCGTGAATCGCACGTCCCCCCAAAATGTGGTGCGCAACGCATTACGAAGCAGGTGTGAAACCCAATTTCAAATGAAACAAGTTTTAATAATTTGAACCTCGTCTTGATCGTAGCTACGTTTTGCATTGAGGTATAGGGAAGCCTTGAGGATCAAAAAACGCCAGAAACGTGTCTGAAAAGTAAGCTTACATTCGAACCGAATGATTGAAGGTAAAAAGATCCAAAGTCCCATAAGGAAGCAAACTCACCTTTGGAAGTTCCACCATGGCGTGTCGTTGCATGCCCACGACTAAAAGTGTAAGTCTCAGTTGCAATGGGTCGCGGTCGCAAGTGCGGCGTGACCCCGTTATCTCGGCAATACAATGGCAACACACTCATGCTGCACACAGCTGTTTTACCTGTAGAATCTAATATTCAGTACGGCACGTTAGTCCTACAAAAATTTACCGTAAGATACAATGATTGAACGCGGAATTTCCCTAACAAGACATTCGCTTCACGGCATAAACCTTTTTGAATACACAAATCTTTATACGTAACGTATGCGACGCATCGAGAAGGGACCTTGGGAGACGGGCAGTAGGAACGGTTTAGTGTAATGGATCCGCCGCACGCGGCTGTCGCGGACCATTTGTCTCGTTGTAACTGTTCTAGCGTTCTTCATACAGCTCAATCACTATGCGAATATTACTTTAATCATGATTTTACGGATTGTTCTTTTGTTCCTGTATTTCCTACTTGGGTGCTAAGTGGGCTGGGGGGACAACGCGGCGCGGCTGCGGCGCGGCGCTCTGCGCTCTCCAAGCCCGAAACGGTCTTTAGAGACGTTTCATAGTTTTTTTTTATGTTGTAACTGNCGGGGGTGGGTGAGCCAATTGGACGTTCAACTTTTATCTCATCTCAGCTTCTTGCACGAGACAACCATCTCACCCACCCCCGGAGCCCCTCCCCTGCTTAAAACATAGGTTTTTTGGGCTCAGAAGAAGTGTATCCATAATATGGAAGCATATTGTTTGTTCTGAATCACAAAACACATCAGTACAACTTTACCATTCCTTTCCAGACTCAGGCCCACTACTATCTTGCTGGAGAGCGCAGGGTGCCGCGCCGCAGGGTCCCCCCCCCCAACTCACTTAGCGCCCCTACTTGCCGCTGCTGCCCCCACATTCCTTCGCGCGCGGCGTCTCTCTCGCCGCGACGCGACAATTTCGTTCCTACCTCACACACTCAGGGACTTGAGCAAGGACACGGGCAGGTTGGTGGGGTAGCCAGGGAGCGCATTGTATCACGCGCACTTGCTCGAGTCAGGACCTATAGCTGGGATCACTGTAAGACTAAAATGCCGTTCTGAATTTTATGTTTTATATTACTCGAGCTGTTGGTACGTCTTGCCTGCAGTAATTGATCCTGCTCACGCTCTCCCTAAAAGCTCGTGGGCAATTACACCGCGAAGTCATAGGATTGGTCTCTTATTGCAAGCTGAAGTGCAGTTCACTTTTTACTGTACATTTTTTCAGATCATAGGACCTGTTATGAAGTTGATCCGTTTCGATTCGATGGAAGATCTCCTTGAAAAATACAGTGTCGCACAGAACTCTCAGCCTGTTGTGGTGATCACGAAGGACGCGGACAGGGCGAGATTCATTGCCCAGCATACTTTGTCTGGATCATTATGGTGAGTTCTAAGTAAGGAACTCGTACCATATTTCGTCGCACAAGGTGGCTGCTTTTCAGGGTGAACAGTAATTATCAAACTGAAGTCGGCACTGTCCTAGACGCACACAGTTTTCCAGGTGAGGTTTAGAAAATCCTTTCATAGTGATAAATCCAAAGACATAAATTGTAGGACAAAGATGTCTAAAAAGGACGAACGACGAATGGGCTGCTAACACAAATAATTTACGAGTGCTGATACACTGAAGACGACGAGGCGTCATTAAAATGAGCTGGATAGAATTAAAAAACCTCTTGTTCGATTCTGATGGGTATGTACATATCTGTAGCATGGCTGTACATACTCGTTTATTCACTCGTAAAGGAATGATAAGACATTTCGAAATGATAATAATGATTATGAAAATAACGGTGAAATTGTTAGAAATCATATCAATAAACATGTATGTAATTGAATGTGCATATGCAAGTCATAAATACACGCAAGCATGTCGTGGTATCTTTCTCACTTGGTAACAAATGTTACGGTTCTCCTCTAAGTAGGCGGATAATTATTCGATCGATGTTTAGATCAATGCTAATGCTTCGCAAACTGTAATTGTGTTTAGTTACATTGACAGAATCTGAGGACTTACCAGGTGAATGACGTTGCTTTCTATTTGAATGCTTCAAAGTATAAACGTATGCCAAAGCTCTTTGCTCTTTGCTAATTCCTTGATCTGTTCTCGCTCAAATTCCCTCAAATTTCTGTCAATAATTCTAACACTTGCTATATCTAAATCCTCGCGTACAGCTTAACAGAACGTTTAGCTGACATATTCCCTTCTCGCATATCGTCTGGTATTTCGCTAATGTGATGTTGCAAATCTGAGTCGGGCATGTTGTTAAACTGAAGAACTCTAAGCAGGGATTTGGAGAAATTATAGGAGCAACTTTGAATATCATGGGAAAGTGGTCTATGTCCATTAGGTTCAACCTTTTCCATGTGCTTCTATTGCTATTGTTTGATGTTATCAATAGGAGATCCTCATGATAGAATTATAACTTTGGATTCACACACAATTTTACGAAGTTACGCACGTCACGACGTTGGCAACCCATATTACCCTCGCCGTTCTTAAAGAGAAACTATTCATTGTAATATCTTAGTTTGTCGTTGATACATTGTGCGGCATAAATGACGACTGTTTTTGACAGTCAGTAATCGAAGCATACCCGCCAGTCATCTGCCCCTCACGCGTTCTCTGAACTTTGCTACATTTTTTTTGTAAGCATCCCCCGCACCAAAATTTCGAAAAGATTTCATACTACCAAAACATGCAAAGGAATTATTTTCAGATTCAGCTCGTCGAGCTGGGTCGAAAACTGATGCGTATGAGGCATTTTGAGAAAGTGAAATTTTTCCGGCTTTTTTTGTAATGGTCGCCGCACAAAAATTTCCGAAAACTTGATTCCTCAGATTTCCTATTTATCATGCTGGCTAGATGTATTTTGACGCGCTGAATCGAGTGCAACCAACCAGGCAATCACCAACCCGCCAATTGGTTCGGGTACGAATCTGCGTGATCAACGATGCTCCAAGGGTACTCTATTATGTAGGTTGAAGGCCTGAGAAAGTTTGATTGGAGCACATTCAGTGTAATCCTGTAATCTTCCCGAAAACAAGAAGGCTGTTCGATTTGAGCGGCATCAAAGTTACAATAACTGCGATAAATCTGGCAGTGCATCAGTGAATGTGCCCCGCCAGGCGATCTGTTTCACTTGATATGCTCTGTTTGCTCCCTTACACTTTCCACCCCACACTCCTTTCTTGCCTCATGGATAGTCGCTTACCAGACGGGTAGCGTCATAAACAACGCCTGCGTGCTGGAAGGAAAGGACCCTAAGGAGGGATGAGATGCTCGCTTACCTTGAAACCGCAGTGTGGGGTGTACGGAGCTGTAGCAAGAATTTTCAGCAAATTGTATGGTTTACTCGTGAAAATAGCAGAAAATTCGTTGAGCTGAGTTTCAGCCTCTTCGCCACGCTCGAATCCAGCTTTTCGACTTGCCTTATACAACTTGTCTTCACTCATGTGCGAACACCGGCAACAAGCCATTCGCCTCTATCTTTCGCGATCACCATCCGCGATAGACTCAGAATTCGACGAAGATGACGATGTGAGAAGTCGTTCAGCTGCTGTCGCAGCTGTTTTACGTGATCGACGAGCACATCCCCCCTCCTCGCAGCAGGTCTTCCCTTAGGTCGTCAAGTTCCTACGGGAGGAGCCCACTCGACTGTCCTTCTTGTCCATCTGTCATAATTTCTCTTCTTATTATATGACCGGCCTACCGATATTCTACGTTCCTCATGTATTCCACCGGATCGCGGAGTCGGGACATCCTGCGCATATCGGAGCTGCGGAGTCCGGCAAGAGCAATATTGAGTTGGTCGAACCTCTCTAAAGACATCGCTCGAGCGTTCCGTGACGTGTGCTCAAAGCCCATGACGGAGATGCCCCGGACTCCCAAGTCTCCGACCCATACCAGAGTGCAGGAAATCTGTGGAATTAAACAGATTAGCGCGATGTCCCGGGTCAGCCAGATGATTGGTGACTTTCAGGGACCGAAGGCCACCCACACTGCTTTCTGTCGTCTCACCAGTTTTTCCCTCATGTCGATGACCGTATTCATGGAACGCCTGAGATAAATGTGGGGCGAGGTCTTCTTGATAGGTGTACCATCGGTCTTAATTTGACCTTTATCAGCCGAAATATTCTTCACGAACTGTGTCTTTGTTTGTTAGATCCACAGCCCTACCTTTCCTGCTCTATTAGGCTCAGCAAGCATAGTCTTAGCTTCCGCAACGCTGCTTGAAAAGAGAACGATGTCTTCCGGAGATTCTCAAAGCGGAGATTTGAGAGGAACCCTCCATCCACACGAATTCATTTTCCTCCCAGTAGAGCGACTTCATAATCCACTGCAGCGCGGCTGTGAATAGTTTCGGCGAGATGGCGTCGCCTTATCTCACAACGACCTCTCCCCTTTCCTGTGGGAATGGGAGAGGTTGTTGGAACAGCTTCACCGTCGCGCTGCAGCTGCTGCTGCAATCAGCTAGTGTGGTGTTCTTATGTAGGGAGGACCCACACTTTGATCGAGCACTGCTGACAGTACCGCATTCGTTTCGACGCTGTCAAAAGCTTTCTCATAGTCAACAAAGGTGAGTACAAGAGGCATTCGGAATTCTCGGCACACTACCAAGACCTTTTCGACTTTTCAACTGCAAAGTTCACTTTTTAGTTGTGAAATGTTGGAAGAGCCGGAAATGGTAAAAGGCTTTGAGGTGGATGGCTCGCGAACCGAGCAAGCGGGTTTGTACCCCATGTGAAGACGTTTACCGTGACCATTACACTTGTAAACTGTACACGAGGGGCATGAGCAAGGAATGACAAAAACTCAGAAGTCTGAGGCTGAGGATCCCTGTAAAGGCGGAGCGTCGAGCCAAAATTCGGCTTCTTCGCCACCTCGGAATTATCCCCAATTCTCTCGCATCTTTTCACTTTCAGACTTTTATTTACAAGATTTGAAATTTCAGCTTTGGCAGGAATGAAATACTAAAGTTGGTGATGGCATGAAGGCTGAAACTCGGTTGAAGCTAAAAAAAGTAGTTAGTAAAAAAACTAAAAATAAGTAGAAAAGCTTTTGGCGTGATGATAGCATCAGGCAAAGGCATCCTCTATCACCATGCATTCAGTTCGTTTTCGGACCAGTCGGCTTAATCACTGACGAAAACACCTCCAGTAGTGTGTCAAGAAGCATTTTCCTGCACAGTGGCTTGTCTCATTCAATACTCACAGCCTTACCGCTCCCCATGCCCGTAGTACGCATCTGTTGAGTGCCCTTTACTTCCCAGGAGGCGCTCAGTATTGGTACGGCATCGAATACGACTTGCTTGTGTATGGGAGCACTGAAAGGATGGGCTGCTGTCGGCAATGTAGTAGGTAGTCTGCCTTAGGGGGGGACGGTACGAACGTGCGTCCGAAGGTGCGCGCGGCAAATTGCGCG